GTCCATAAAATGCATTGCTGTTCTGTTGTAAGTAATCTTAAAGACTCCTAAATGCATCTACTTTCGGAAGGTCAAATAAAGTGCTTTTGCTTTTGCCTAGAAACACACAGCGTCTCCCTGACATGGCTGCTTCAACACTAACTGCGGTTACTGAAACCACGCCTTCTTTCTTTGCGTGCACATTTGGGCGGCATTATGCAAATATTTCCACATAGTGAGGTAGATATGTGGGGGAGTGTTAGAACAAGCCGTTTTAGGGGGGCGTGGCAGAGTCTTAACTTTGATAAAGAATAACTTTTTGGTTTTGAGACTTTAGTCTTTGCAACCTCAGGGATCTTATCTATGCACAATCAGCTTGTAACACTCCAAAGAGAAAGGAAAACTTGAAATTGCATCATATGACCCCTTTAAAATTAAAAAAACAAGATTTAAGATTTAAAAAATAATAATAATTTTAAAGCATTTAAACTGCCAAATTCCACATTGGATAAATAAGTATATCTCTCTAATATATATATATTTTAAATATTACATTTAATTTACATTAAGTGGACAGTGAGTGTGTACATGATAGTCAGGGGTGCATTAATGCACGGGCTTCAAGGGGCTGAAACCCAGGGGCCTACACTGGAAAGGGGGCCCACTGGCTGCAGGGAAATTATATATTTTTGAACAATTATTATATGGGAGTTTGCAGCAGTGACAACAGCATTCTGTAAACAAACTCACACACTCATTTTTTTAGCGATGCACAGTTTAGGTTTTCCCCCACACAGTTTGTATACTTGGTATGTTCCACGTGTTCGATCCATATACTGTAAGCGGAATGTACAATGCATTCGCTGGTAAATAACCGCAGCACGAGAGTATCTCTATGTCAACACACAGATTAACAGAAACACAACACTGCTGTGTGAAAGGAACTGGACCGGACAACGTTCTGTAACGTCATAAAGTGAGAGTTCAGTAACTTGCTTGGAAGTAATATATGTGTCTCTGTATCTGTGTCCCATAAATAGTGTCAATTTTAAATCAGGTGTCCTGACATTTTATCCTACCCGTCAGATTGTCCTACCAGGGTTTACTGTGCATGCGCACATCAATATTGCGTCCTTTTTCTCACGCTGAACAACATTTTTTAATGTATCTGCATTACTGTAAGGGTAGGTTTAGGGTTGGGGTAGGTGTAGAATTTGATAAAACACAATCTAATAGGTAGAAAAAAATATTTATTGTTGGTTTCCTGTAGCTGTATCCCTTCTAGCCACAAACGCGAATATAACACATAATTACCGTATTTACATTACTGTAAGGGTAGGTTTAGGGTTGGGGTAGGTGTAGAAGTTAATAAACCATAATTTTACAGGTAGCATTTTTCATTGTCGAATTGTACTACCCACTGTTTTAATGGGAGGAAGCAAAATCTGACAGGGTAGCACAAATTGACAGAATACTGGGTCTCAAAGTCTCCATTTTAAATCTGGGGATGGAAAAATAGGACTTGTCCTATTGCTTAAATGTGATCATTAATCTTGTGTGAGCTGTGATTTAACTAATTAATCGTGAGCACGTCATGTTTCAAAATAAAAATGCAGATAGCAATCACCAAATAACCCACATTTATGTCAGCATGCCGTGTGTTTTTCTCTACTGATGATGAATAATTAACATGTTGTGTGATTTATGGTGTTTAAATCATACCTGTAAACTCACATTTCAGCCAGGAAAGTTTTGAGGGCATTTTCCTTTCATATTACCTCCGTATAATGCCCTTAATAACGTAGTGTTTACTTTATGTAACGGCTATATAATTCTGCTGTTCCACAAGCGCCACCTTGTGGCAAAGAGTGAATTTGCATTTTCGCTTATATTCACATTTTACGCAGAACTGTGTTGTGAATGTTAACTGGCATACTAATTAACAAGACAAAAAATTTAAATTTGACAAATAATTGTTAGGAAGCTTAAAAAAAGAAAAAAAAAGAAAAAAAAGAAGCAGTTTTCTGGGGTCGGGGGGCCTACTGTAATGCTGTAGCCCAGGGGCCTTTGGTTATCTTAAGGCACCCCTGAGAGAAAGTAATTTATATTATTGTTGAAGAAGTAACATCTTTATGAGCGTTTTACTTGTTATTTTTTTATCAAAACACAGTTCAGACCAAAGTAATATAATATTGTAGTATTTTAGTGTCAATTAAAATTTATTGGAGTATCAATAATGCGTCCATAAAATGCATTGCTGTTCTGTTGTAAGTAATCTTAAAGACTCCTAAATGCATCTACTTTCGGAAGGTCAAATAAAGTGCTTTTGCTTTTGCCTAGAAACACACAGCGTCTCCCTGACATGGCTGCTTCAACACTAACTGCGGTTACTGAAACCACGCCTTCTTTCTTTGCGTGCACATTTGGGCGGCATTATGCAAATATTTCCACATAGTGAGGTAGATATGTGGGGGAGTGTTAGAACAAGCCGTTTTAGGGGGGCGTGGCAGAGTCTTAACTTTGATAAAGAATAACTTTTTGGTTTTGAGACTTTAGTCTTTGCAACCTCAGGGATCTTATCTATGCACAATCAGCTTGTAACACTCCAAAGAGAAAGGAAAACTTGAAATTGCATCATATGACCCCTTTAAAATTAAAAAAACAAGATTTAAGATTTAAAAAATAATAATAATTTTAAAGCATTTAAACTGCCAAATTCCACATTGGATAAATAAGTATATCTCTCTAATATATATATATTTTAAATATTACATTTAATTTACATTAAGTGGACAGTGAGTGTGTACATGATAGTCAGGGGTGCATTAATGCACGGGCTTCAAGGGGCTGAAACCCAGGGGCCTACACTGGAAAGGGGGCCCACTGGCTGCAGGGAAATTATATATTTTTGAACAATTATTATATGGGAGTTTGCAGCAGTGACAACAGCATTCTGTAAACAAACTCACACACTCATTTTTTTAGCGATGCACAGTTTAGGTTTTCCCCCACACAGTTTGTATACTTGGTATGTTCCACGTGTTCGATCCATATACTGTAAGCGGAATGTACAATGCATTCGCTGGTAAATAACCGCAGCACGAGAGTATCTCTATGTCAACATGCAGATTAACAGAAACACAACACTGCTGTGTGAAAGGAACTGGACCGGACAACGTTCTGTAACGTCATAAAGTGAGAGTTCAGTAACTTGCTTGGAAGTAATATATGTGTCTCTGTATCTGTGTCCCATAAATAGTGTCAATTTTAAATCAGGTGTCCTGACATTTTATCCTACCCGTCAGATTGTCCTACCAGGGTTTACTGTGCATGCGCACATCAATATTGCGTCCTTTTTCTCACGCTGAACAACATTTTTTAATGTATCTGCATTACTGTAAGGGTAGGTTTAGGGTTGGGGTAGGTGTAGAATTTGATAAAACACAATCTAATAGGTAGAAAAAAATATTTATTGTTGGTTTCCTGTAGCTGTATCCCTTCTAGCCACAAACGCGAATATAACACATAATTACCGTATTTACATTACTGTAAGGGTAGGTTTAGGGTTGGGGTAGGTGTAGAAGTTAATAAACCATAATTTTACAGGTAGCATTTTTCATTGTCGAATTGTACTACCCACTGTTTTAATGGGAGGAAGCAAAATCTGACAGGGTAGCACAAATTGACAGAATACTGGGTCTCAAAGTCTCCATTTTAAATCTGGGGATGGAAAAATAGGACTTGTCCTATTGCTTAAATGTGATCATTAATCTTGTGTGAGCTGTGATTTAACTAATTAATCGTGAGCACGTCATGTTTCAAAATAAAAATGCAGATAGCAATCACCAAATAACCCACATTTATGTCAGCATGCCGTGTGTTTTTCTCTACTGATGATGAATAATTAACATGTTGTGTGATTTATGGTGTTTAAATCATACCTGTAAACTCACATTTCAGCCAGGAAAGTTTTGAGGGCATTTTCCTTTCATATTACCTCCGTATAATGCCCTTAATAACGTAGTGTTTACTTTATGTAACGGCTATATAATTCTGCTGTTCCACAAGCGCCACCTTGTGGCAAAGAGTGAATTTGCATTTTCGCTTATATTCACATTTTACGCAGAACTGTGTTGTGAATGTTAACTGGCATACTAATTAACAAGACAAAAAATTTAAATTTGACAAATAATTGTTAGGAAGCTTAAAAA